TCTCAGTCTCTTTCTCTCAGTCTCTCTCTCTCAGTCTCTCTCTCAGTCTCTCTCTTTCTCTCTCTCTCTCTCAGTCTCTTTCTCTCAGTCTCTCCCTCAGTCTCTCGCTCTCTCGCTCTCTCTCTCTCGCTCTCTCGCTCTCTCTCTCTCGCTCTCTCGCTCTCTCTCTCTCTCTCTCTCTCTCTTTCTTTATTTATTTCTTACTTCTCTCCCTCTTCCTCTCTCCTTATTTCTTTCTCCTCTCTCTCTCTTTCTCTCTCTCTTTTCTTTTTCTCTCTTTCTTTCTTTCTCCTGTCTCTCTCTTTCTCTCCCCCCTCTCTCTCCTTCTATCTTTTCTCTCTTTCTTTCCACCCCTCTCTCTCTTTCTCTCCCATTTTCTCTTTTTCATTTGCGCACGCACGCACTCCCCCCTCTCTCTCACTATCGCTCCCTCTTGTTTTGGTAAGCATTACGTGGCACGATCGCAACTGTTGTAGATCTACTATGAGCGATTGGGACACATTAAGCATTTTAAGTTAGATAAATAATCATTGTTGAGTCATGGACGGAACTGTGATATAAACAGTTTATCTGTAACCGTAGACCGAAAACTTACATTTTCTGAGAAAGCTATAACCTTCTGTTTAGAAATTCATTCGTACCAACTGCAGTGAGGTTACTGAACACACAGCGCTACAAATGAAACAAGAGAGAGAGAGAGAGAGAGAGAGAGAGAGAGATTGAGATTCCCACTGATCTTCCTTGTCCACCGGTAATCCTGAGTGGCTCAGCTGCAGCAATTATTCTGTTGCTTTCTCAAATCTTTTTTTAGTTTTAGTAAGGATTTTACGGCACTTGCAACACAATAAGGTCATATAAGCTTAAGTGCCGAAGAATAGATGTGTTACAAGAGAGTAACATTAACATACACAAAAAAAGAAGAAGGAGAGATAAGGACGAGAGATCGACAGATGGTTGATAGTAAAGAAGGAACAAACCACACCAGAGCACCCGCCAACCACCTTAACGAATCTTTGCAGACAACCATGCGACTATGTCCTGAGTAATTTTCTCTTATATTGAGAGATCGGTGTTAAACTTCAGGTAAACCTTGAGGCTGTCTTTGAATCGTTTCTTCTGGCCTCCACGATAGCGTTTGTCCCGTTAAACAACTGCAGACCTGCCCAGCGAAGTAGTGACTGCATTAGAATGGTTTTCGTAAGAGCTTTACGGCACTTGCAATACAATAAGGTCATATAAGTGCCGAAGATTAGATGTGTTACAAGAGAGGGGCAAACACAAAAAAAGAAAGAGAAATAAGGACAATAGGTGTTTGATAGGAAAGAAGCAGCAAACCACACCAGACCACCCTCCAACCAAACGATTAGGATGGATTGAATAACATACAAAGAAAAGGAGGAGAGACAAGGACGATATATATTTGATAATAGGAAACGATCAAACCACACCAGAGCGCCGCCAGTCACCCACATTTTATATGAAGCAGTTTTTCATTTTGAGAAATTATAAAATTGTATAAGCAAGCATGGTTCTGAAGGACCAGAAAGCGCTGTATTATTCCATACTCCCTTCTTCCTGTGTGTGTTTGGGTGCGTGCCTCTTCCTATTGTCGTCTCTCTTTCTCTTTCACGTTCACACAGGTTGGGAAGACACCATATCGCGGTCTGGGGACTTACTACCCCTTACCCAATTCGGAGGGATATCTTTTCAAACGCTGTAACCCTATCCGTACGTCGTGTTTTACTATCGTATCCATACAATGTGAGGAACTCTGTGCCACCACTTTCCAAAAAGGAAATTTACGCGTTAATCCGATCCGTACGCTTTGCATAGCAGTCTGTCATTATGATTTTTAGAGAAGTACTGAAAGCTTCAAAGAGATCTTCGTACTATAAGTATTCTAAAATGTGAAGAATACAACCCAGGGGGTACAAAATGACTCCAGAGCGTACGAATAGGGTTAATGATAAGAGAAGGATGAGGGATTTCTAAAAATGTAGTTGGTAACAGATTATCTCTTCACCATACCCCACAAAAATCAGGCGGGACAAACCACAAGAACAAATTAGAGATGATGCACAAGAAACCAAAGAGTGTACCGGTACACAAAAATTGTTTCTCACTCAAAAAACAATCGCAGATGCACAGCTATCTACACGCGCTAATACGATGATGATGAAGACGACGATGTCCACTTCTCAAAGCGAGATCTGTTTAGAGCAATCTTTGCTTCTACTCTTACTCTTTATTTCAAGCACAAGGCACGATACTCTCTAAAAATAGCATCTTCCATGCTGTTTTGAATATTACTCTGCAGGCCCTGTTGAGGAAGCTACATAACATTTGGACAGGCCCATTCTATAGAATACTCCTAGAATAGAATTTGAATGTAATATTTCTAAACAAGTAACAAATCAGAGATCAGAGGATTTCACACTTCTGACACTATTGGAGTCAGCTGGAAAGCTCGCTGTATTTGAACTGTAAATTAAAATTTGTGACATAACATAAAGAAAAATGTAGTTGCTTTTTATGCACTTCGACACAATATCTATAGAGCTATTTGGACCTGACTGCAAAAACAAAGAGCAAAGTGTGTTCAACTATGATCAAAAGTAATAGTGCAGAAAAATTTCTATGGGAAAACTATGACCATTATTCTCACTGGAAGTAGTGGAAGTTATTTCTAAATGTAACCATAACGAGTGAGGAAAAATTTCCAGTAAATTTCCCCGTCTTGGGTCAGAGTTGAAAATGTACATAAACCACAAATAAGCTTCTCACTGAACTCGTTCTGTGACCAGTTCATGTAGATATAATTCTCACAGCACTGGCGGCATGGTTAACAACACTTCACAGACTCATAATGATGAACATTGGGTAAAAGAGGAAATTGACTTGCAACCATTTTTCTCTCCATTTATCTGGTCAGTCAGTTAGCTAGTCAGCCTGGCTAAATGATTCTAGAGAATCTCACATCATAACACATTTTAGCACAATTGAGGACAATTGTGCAATTCCATTTACACAACAAAACAACCATTATCCTTTTAATCACTTTAGCAGAAGCTGAATTTTATTCTGTAATACATGAAAAATACACATCACATAAAGATTAAAAAGACTTGATAGAGGCTCCCTCCCATCCACCCCCCATAAGTTCTTGTGAGATAAACATTTCCATCCTAAAATCTTACGTTGTTTCTTTCTAAACCAACATATAATGCAGGCAGAAAACCTCAAAGAACTTTGCATGGAACACATCACAAAACAATCTCCACCCCACCCCCTCAATATTTGGCATGCTTGGCATCACTGCCCCCGCCGTCCGCCCCACTGGGTTTCCTCTTCTCTATGATCCTCTGGATCTGCTGCAGCTCTCTGTCCAGCTTCTGTTTCTCATCTTTGGGGCCCGTTCTGCGTGTCCGACGACCGTCACTCATCTTCACCCCGTACTGGAAAGCAGCTCTGACAGAGGGGGGGGGGGAAGGAAAATACAACAGGATATAAATGGAAATGTTTCAAAGTAAACCACACTCCTAAAAAAACAACCCTCGACAAACCCACCCAAAAAAAGGTTATATACTGAAAACAGGTAACAGCTTTTTCATTACAAAAGAAAATTGTATAAAAAGAAAAAGATAATCATAAGAAAATCTCCAACAAAAATGAATCTATATCAAGAGATGGTATCTTGACTAAAGCTAAACTTCCAGAGTACATGTTTCTAGACCTGGATACACTTACAAATACAAGAACAAACAGTACAGCCAAATTTATAACCAACAATGGCAGCTGAGGAGAGGACTTTAGACCTATAAATCATCCTGTGACCTTTGAAGTAAGTGGTGATGACACTGAATAAATGTTGATGGATCAGATCTCGTAAATCCCAACTCTAATTTCCCCTTAGAATTCCAATACAGTTGGGCAAGGATTACTCAAATATGTCAGGGATTGACAAATGTATTCGGCACATACGATATCAGGGTAAACCGTTATAGCAAAAAATTAAAGAGACAACAGTTGGGGAACGGCAAATTGTCAGCGCTTTTCATGATTACCAGTTTGGGGTGAGCATGTTACCTGTGCCTGACTGCATATCTTTAAAAAATCCAACTTCAGGTAAAAACCAAAAAATCCTTTAAACCCAGTCCCCCTGAGCCTGGATGACCATTGCCCAACTGCCAAACTTACACTATCATACGCTAAAGTGTGCATTTGATGTGTGGAAAGGTAAAAGCAGTCATGCCATTGTCCATCTGGTTAATAGTCCACCCTCCTGAGCAGTAAAACGGACCACCCAGACAAGCCCCCACATACTTGGGCAGAGCCTCCCGGTTGGACATATAGTCGGAATATTCCTCGGCCGTGTCAAAGTCCCATCGGCCGACTGGACCCTTCTTGTTGCCCTGGTCCATTTTGGTGAAGTCAACTTCCTCGTCAGAATCGTCGATAGCATCTGCAGACTCTGCCATGCTGAGATTTTCATGAAAAAGAAAAGAATGTATTAAAAAATTTGATTGCAATATTTGTTGAGAGACAAAACAAAAGAAACACGTCATTGAAACTTAACTGACACAATGGAAAGTCATGTTAGTTTTTATGCCAAAGCTTTGCACTACAAGGAAATTTTCAATTGGAGGACATACTTGACAAATTTTAAAAGACGAACACCCCCCCCCCCACCCAATAAATCTGCATAACATTTTTCTTTAGGAAGACGATTTCAAAGCTTTATTTTCATATACTGCAACCACATTGTGATCCGTATGAAGACAAGTACGGGTAGTCTAAAAATTTCCATGGATTAGTTCAGCTGAATGCCTTTCTTGGCAGCCTATACACTATTCCCTATATCACTATCAGGGTGAAAGAGTCAAATGATGATGATGGATCCAGTAAAAGACATTATAGTGAAACAAATACCATGCTGCAATTAAAATGCAAATGGCTATGAGAGAAAAAGCTGTACCTGGGTGTAAATATGAAGCTCATAGGTGTAAAAACAAATCTGTATCATTGTCAACAAGAATTCTTAGAGGGCGCACATTCATTGCAGAGACAATTTTAAGGGGACAAACAATTCAGAACTGTGACAACTGAAATGGTTTTCTGGAGACAGCGGCAATAAACAGAGTCCAAAATACCACACCGAAGTGGGTGACGTGACAAGAGTTTGGCGTCACAACCCCCCCCCCCCCCCCCAAAAAAAAAGCCCAGGAATGACAGCATTCAGCAAGTTAATGTAATGAAACTTTTTTCATTTGATGACAAAAGATTCTGACAACCTTATGCTTTAAGACAAAAATATGCTTACACAGTTTGAAAATTATGCAATGGCCCCCAGTGCATACAAATCAGAACGATACAACCCCCCCCCCCCCCCAATTAAAAAACCACCAGTGCACAAACTGATGACTCACCCTGGGTAGCACTCAGCGTAACTGTCGATACCTGTCTTCGCTTTCAATTTTTGCAACCTGTTCTTCTCAGCATCCACCTTCACTCTGCAGAGAAAAATATAAAGGCGTAAAGGAGAGTGTAAGATATGCTCAGATCAGGGGGTGTAACAATCTACTGTTTTTCCAGAGTTACCTTTTAAACCATTGCATGTCCCTCACAGTCACTTGAGACTATTCCACACAGGAAAATTGAGTGCAAATTTATTATTTACTCAAGTCTGACCTTCTCACAGAAATGTAAGGGTCTAAGGTCATTTTCAACACTAAGTTTACTTAAGATGCATGGCCTCTGATTTAATGTCAATATTGTTAAGGTCGAATCAAGCGTGAGGAAAGCTAGGAAAACCAAACAACTAACCCAATGTCAAGAACAGCCCTACTAGGATTCGAACCACTGTTATTCACATTGCAATCCTATATTGCTACCTTAAAATTACAAAGTTCTGTCTGACATATTTGAAATTTTTAGTTACTATGACCATGAGGTCAGAAACCAAATGTTCTTTCTGCTCTACAAAAATCTCAATATTATTTGGAGTCATTCAAAGAATAGCATTAAAAAAAGCATGACATGTAGCAAAACTCAACATTTTTTTTTTACATCAAATTTCTCAATACTAGGCACTGAGCAGACAGAACTTTGTAATTCTAAGATAGTGATATGGTACCAACTGAACTATAGATTCACCCCCCGACTCTTTCAAAAACCTGCCACACCAATTCCTAAAAAAAGGGACAGCTGTAATTTTTAAAAATGGTATCTGCTTCAGTACAACATGAACGTAACTGTACTGATTTATTTCACCTCACCTAAATGAAATGTAAGGAATTTGTTTCAGAATTTCTATTCCCCCTTGACAGTTACACACTGTAAAAGAGATTCAGCTCCTACTAAAATTCAAGTACAACATTTAAGCAAAAAATTACAAATGGGCTTACACCAAATAATTTAAAACAAATACTTACTTTTCCTTCTCCTCCTCAACATCAGCATAGCCCTGGAGGGAAGAAAAGTATCCGCTTATGAGACTTCTACAATCTAATTTCAATATCCTACTCAGCCCTAGCATCCCCAGTTCCCGAACTTAGAAGGTCACTAAGTAAAATCCTGATTATATGAACTTCACAAGAATTTCTTGATGTTTTTGAAGGCTGCAGTGCATAAATGAAGTGGGGGGGAAAAACTGGGGATTTGAAATACTTTCCTGGTACAGCAACAGGAATTTCGTGTTGAATGGCTTTATGTTAAACAGAATCTGCTGGTTTTTCATTGAGCAGTTTGAATCACAATTGGTTCCCAAAAATAAGCTGACATGCTTAAATATAACTTATATCTGTTCGGAGTGTTTTCATTTCAGAGAACTTGTAAAACATGAAGAGAAAGATCTATTCTTTTTCATATTGTCACTTTTCTTGTGTTTTTTTAATCAACTCCATTCTAAATTATTTTTAAACCAGTATAAAAACAAAACACGGAGTAAAGAAAATGTAACCCCCCCCCCAACAACAACAACCCAACAAAAAACAAACCGAACACCCTGCAATGCCTTATTGTGTCAGTAAAGTGAATAAACAGTCCAACAAGAATTCTGATATGTCATTACATTCTGTCAATTGTATAGTAATTTCATTGTCAATGTTGAACACTCTAAATTACTTAGGAGGTGGGCTGCTTTGACCTTGCCTGCTGGGCAACTCCAGGCTCAATGTAATAAAACATCCTTTCAGAAAGACAAATATTCGATAAAGAAAACCCCCTTTAACCCTCGAATGAATCAAATACAGTCAAACCTGTGTAAGACGGCCACCCATTGTCAAAGAGAAAAGTGGCTGAATAAGACAGGTGGCCGTCTTAGGCAGGACTGATCAAGATGAAGAAAACAAACCCCATTCCCAATCGAAAGTAGCCGCATTATTGTTTTTGTTATTGTTGTTGTTGGTTTGTATTTTGTTTGTTATTTTTATTTTGTTGTTGATTTTGAGCAAGGGTGACAATAAAACGAAATTTGTCAGACAAGGAGGACTGAGTGCTATGGTAAAACAAACACATGGGTCGCCACCACTCGGAGAATGAGCGATGCTTCTGTCACAAGTCCATGTTGACGTCCATTGTTACTTTGTTACAGACTGGGTAAACAGTGACCACTGATCTCACTTACGATTTGTGTATGAGTTCTGGGCGGGGCTTATGGGCTACGAGGGATCACACGTTTCCCTCACCAGCAGCTGGAAATTGGTACCTATTGGTCAACTGTGGGAGGGGTCTACGCAACATGATCGGTTGGAGGGACTACTCAACAACAACGACAGGTGATTAGATTATGACGGCTCGCCCACAACGCCAGGGGTCAATGCACAATTAATGACAAAACGTAATGGAGTCACTAAGGTGGCCGTCTAAGACAGGTGTTATTGCTAAGTGTGATAGGGGTTGTGTGTTAAAATATGGTGGCCGCGGCCGCGTAGGACAGGTGCCCGTTTTACACAGTTGAATTATATCGAAAAAATGCAAGGGGGGAAATGGGAAGTGGCCGTTTGTACAGGTGGCCGTCTTATGGAGGTGGCCGTCAGGGCAGGTTCCACTGTATTTCTTCTGCAGACAATGACACAACCATCACACCACAGACATGGGTATGGTCTCTGTTGTGGACCCAGTACTTCATAGGCATTCAATTTAAACACTTTTGACCCAAAATATTGCTTCCATATTGAAACAAGAAGCACGATTAAAGGCTACAACAGCATTGGGGCATCAGTTTCAATTTAAAAAACCCAACTTACTTTAAACCTTTCGTTGATCGATTTGACCAGTTCAATCGCTGTCTCTTTGGGTTTTTCCTTAAGGTCATCCTGAGGGCAGAAAGATAAAAACAAAAAATAAACAACTCAGGCTGATAAACAGTGAATGATAGCAACAAATAAATAAATGACACAACTGATGAAACAAAACTGACAACCTTGCAAATTTTTAAAAAAAAAGAAAAAGAAAAAAAAAGCCCTCCTCACATGATTAATCTGACTCGCACTTTAAATCCTAAACAGAATTACAGAGGAGTCCACTTTAAACCGAACACGGTTAATCTGCAAACAGCAGTAAGCGGAAAGAAAAAAAATCCTAGATAAAAAATAATAATTAAGCAACATCTCTAAAACAAAGCAAATTTGGCAGTCTCACAAATTTTCATTTTAAAGGCCCCTCCCCCCCCTTCAAATAAGAAATTACGTGAGCATTGACACACTTATCTTTCCCACTCCCCACTCATAGTTTCAAGACAAGAAATTTTAGTTCTATGACCATAATAAAGAGAAAGACTTCACCTCTTCCACAGGCTTTTCAAAGTAAGACTTCCTCTGGGGCTTCTCCCGCTCTGGTTCTCTGATCCTGTCCGTCCGTTCCCTCTCCCTTTCCCGATCTCTGCCCCTATCTCTCTCTCTCTCCCTGTCACGGTCCCGGTAGTCTCGCCTGTCTCTGTCCCTGAAAAGAAAACAAAGAAAGCCATTTTCTTGACTAATTTGAACTGTGTATATATATATATATATATAGATAGATATGCAAGCCTTTTAGCTTTTAGTATCTTCTAATCAGGATGTCTAGATCTTCTTCTTGAAGAACCAGATCTGAAACAGACATTTGCAACCACGGTTTGCCATTCAATTCTCAGCTTAGATGCTCTCAACAAATCTATCGCATCCAGGTAATTTTCTGTCACTCATCTGTTCAGTTCTTTAAGTATGTTATTCTGGGTCTACCTCCGCCTCTTTTGCACTCTACTTTACCAGGGTGGGCACATTAATGCTGGATCATAATCTGAACAGTTACAGTGGGTAGATTTATCAGACTCATTGAAACTTTGAAGAGATTCGTTACTACATAACGTAGATGTTTTAGCCTGGAGGATGCCATTTTGCTGACTGTCAGCAAAGAATTTATTAAGAAGAAAAACTACCTCTTGAGCTAAAGAAGCAGACCCAGCCTTAAAGTAAATGGATACTCATTTAATGTTGCATTCCTTCAGCAAAAAAACCCCCCCAAAACATGACTGGGGTGGCATGAACGAGAGTCTGGCGTAAATTAAAAGTTCATGCCACAACGGTATCCATGAACAGTAGTCGGTGAATTGATCTGATTTTACACTCCTTTTTTGTTTTTTATTCTGATTGCTGTTTAGTCAAAGGACTAGTATGGCATTTGAAAACACTTTAAAAACACCAACATTTCAGAGTGTCATGCCAAAACCAAAGAAGTCAATGTATGCTAATTTTTCAGGAGGGGCAGACAAAAATTGCATTATAATGAATGCTTAATCATCAGGTGTTCTATACATGTTTGAAGGAAATGAAGAGTTTAATCATTCCGATATCACTTTACCTTATTTAGGATCCAGTAAAGGATACAAAGTGAAAAACCCCCCAAAACCCCCAGAAAAAACAAAAACAACAACAACAACCAGGAGACATCTAAAACATGAACGATTTGTACCCAGCACTGTTGAGATAGGCACAAAATCAGCAGCTAGACCATCGAATATCTCACCTATCCCTCTCTCTCTCCCTGTCCCTTTCCCGGTCTCTGCCCCTATCACGATCTCGGTCCCGATCAGACTTGCTGTCGCGATCCTTGTCCTTTCTGTCTTTCTCCCTCTTGTCCTTGGGCTTGGCAAATGATGGCTCGTAGTCTCCAATCTCACCATAGATGCTGGGGAGAAGACAAGGATGATTTACAAAAGAATGAAGAAAGAGAAAATTACAGTGGAACCTGCTCTTATCATCACTTGTATAAGACACCCATCGGTGCAAAAACTGTTATGTCCCATTCCCCCCACCCTGTTGTGTTGTTTTTTTTTGCACAATAATGACAGTGTGCAAGACATCCACCTGTTTAACACTTACAGCACCGAAGGCTCATATAGTGAAAAACCCTTGGGTACAGCACCCGTTTAGAATGCTGAAGTCATGGTAGAATTTTTGCTAATTTGAAAAAAACCTTGGCCGCCCAAGAATAACGCTTTAAAAATTCAGAGAGGTTCATCAACCATTCAGCTATCATATATAGAGTGACTTCCTTTGGTATTTACTTCAGCGCAGTGCACCCATTTGTTGTTTAATTATGTTTAGTGTGCCTGGTTGCATCAGCCACTGAAGTCGCCAGTAGTTGTGAGCAAATACTACGGCCTGGCGACTAAAGACGGTATTGTAAGTCTTAAGACAATCACTTTTCTCCAGGACAATGGTTGGCCGTTTTAGACCACTTCCACTGCGCTTTCAGAAACAGCCCCTAACAGCGGGAGGTCTGTGGCAGACACAGCCACTCCCGTGTTGGCTTATAAAACCCTAGCATGTACAGTACAAATGAGAATGAAGGAAATAAAAACAACCCAGCTCTACTTCACATGGTTAACTTTCCATCTGATTCTTTTGAAGAAGTTTCAGTTTTTAAAAGTTATGGCAGAATTTGCGATGATATCAATGATTCCACTCATTTATCAAGGCAACCCCAAGAATCTTGGCTTAGGATGACGAGGACTTACCTGTCATCCAGGGCAGTGATTCTGGCTTTCTCTTCCTCTTTTAGTTTTCCTGTGGAACAAAAACATGTCATTTTCCTTCAAGGTTTGGCTTGATGTGCTTTTCATGGAATGTAAATGCTTCAAAAGATCAGCTAGCCAACTCCCCCAAAATGAGCTAAATTATTATGAGATACCACTCAATAATTCAAGACTTAAACATAATAATTACAGTGGCAACATTAGACACTCATAAGGTGGCTTTCACCAACATCATAAAAAGAAGCAACAAGAATGAAATCAACAGCAAGGAATAGATTGGAAAAAGTGATCAGATTGATTACAGAGTAAATGAACCACCCCTGGAGCAAGTTGGCAGATTGAGTTGTTCACTCATTGCCACCTACTGTGAATGTTTTACTTCCCCACTGACACAATTTAGACGGCAGGCTGGTTCAATCTTGCCCATCATTGCCAGCTGAGGGCTGAGTGGGATGCATGCATCCTTTCAGAAAGACAAGAGATATTCAATAGTCTTTCAACACTACTTCTATTTGCAAGGGTAAAGATCCTACCTATTCCACCAAAGATGACAATATGTAACATTGCACCATACAATGTTATGACTAAATTCAACAGGGAGAAACCTAGCTACCCATAAAACACCACAGCTCAGATCCAAACCTTTTTCTTTCTTTTTCAACTTCTTTGCTTCTCTTTTCCCTTGTCTCAGATACGACAAAATCTGCGTCAGTTTGTTGATCACAATATCATTTGTTGTTAGAGTTGTTGTAGCCTGAGGAAGACCAGAAAATCAACTTTAGATTGAATGAAATATTTGAACTACCACCTATGATCCATTATTACGTAGGTGGCTTTTCTTTATAGTTGTTTATTAGTTTGAATAGATCAGAGACTTACAAAATTTAAGTAATCTTATACTTTGAGGGCAAACAGAAACTATACTGTCACCAAAGAACAGGTACCGTAAATCAAATTTGAGAGAATTGAAACTCTGAAAAAAAAGTATGCAATAAAAAACATCTATAATCAAAATAATAATTTTAAAAAATAAATCTAATTTATATTTCCATCTGAAAATCAATTCGAAGTGCTCCAAACTTGTATTAGTATAATTAACACTCTCAGCTTCTTTGGAAACACAAGGGCAAGCTACCAATTTTACCGACACACAATACTGACAGACAGTCAATATCTTAAACTGTCTCAGCCAGGTGTTCATTCAACATTAGAGAAAGAAGAAAATTTACGTAAAATACTGCACTATCCTCTGTCCAAATGACATTGGAGCGGAGAGAATCAAGAAGAAGATGTCTACCTCAATGGAAGCAGAGAAAGCTTTTACACATAAGTGTATAGAACAAAATTGTACCTGTAGAGATGGACAGTCAGCCTTACTGCGGATCAGGGTGGCTGGGATGTCTGATTCTGCAAACTCATCTTCCAAGGCAATGACATAGGCCATACGCCTGGGCAAAAACAGCTCATTTCTCTGAGGTACACGGTTCCGGAACAAGGTTCTGTAGATGTTCCGACCTGATAATAGAGAAGGAATGTTTAACATAGTGCCTGAAACATATCAATGATGTATTCTTGGAAATCATTTAATATCCCCTCTAACAGACTTTATATACATTTCTTTGGAGGCTCCCACTTATAAAAAATCCAAACATTACAAGTAAAACTAAAAAGCAACTTCTGATTACATCCACAAGACAGATACATACTTAAATACTACTAGATGACACACAGTGGAAAGATACATACTGCACAGATATCACAAAAGTGTTTTTAAAGACAAGGCTCATAGAGTAAAAACTCTTGCCATCAAAGGCAAAGGCATTTTGGGGGTAAATCCAAAGAATCTGGGTGGTAAACATCGCCGATTGGCGAGATGAGGCGGCAAAGTGTTAAATATCGCTGTCATTAAAACGTAACTTCACACAGTTTATGATGAATTTCTAATAAAAAGTACTAAGATCTTTTAGGAAACACACATGTGAACAAACTACCCCCAAGTGTATGTCTCCTATGCTAGACACAATCTGCACGACAACGGACAAACAAAACAAAGTAATATTTTATGTTCTGTCTCCCCCCAAAAAACCCCCCCAAACAAACAACAACAACAACCAAACAAACCATTTAATGTGAAAGGGTACATACCCAGCTTGGTCTTGAATGTTATCTTTTCTTCAGGATCCTCCTCTTCTCTGCAAATAACAATTTCAGACAAAACAATTACATTGATGATGCAACACCACGTCTCCTAAAATTTAAGAAACAAGATTTATCTTTTTATAAACGATGCCAAACTGTGCCCTGAAGAAAGCAGTTTCATCACATTTCTCTTAAATTAATCACACCACATATCCCCTCAACTAAATGGCATCTATACTAGATTTCTTAAACAGCAATGAAACTGGTGATTATAACACTACTCTTACAGAAAACACTTTGCATTACACTGCCTTTCTTCCTGTATTCACCATGAATCAGAAGGCAAAATGGTATGGAACAATCCTTACAAAAAAACAAGGTCCAATCTCAGAACTAAAATGTTTTTGTCCCCTCTCCCATTTTAACACAGAAATTTCAGGATTTTAAAGTGTTGAAGTAAAGAAATTTGAAAAAGTGAAGAATACCCCTTTAGAATGGACATACAGCATGGATTATGATGCTCTTTCTATAATATAGACCTGCATGTGAGCCTAAACCAGATTGTCTGAAAATTTTGCGCACCCCCCCCCCCCAAGCCTTTGTGGGTGTCATAAGGAAGGACATCCGAGTAACGAGCGACCACCCCAACAAACACAATAAAGAAGAGACCTATCCCTAACCCTACCCCCAAAAAGAACCTGCAATGGGCCTCATGTAAAAAGGCCAAAACAAGTCCTAAATGAAAAAAAAATTTTTTAATTAAAAAACCACACTCCAAAACAAAGGAGCACATAGAATCTAGATCTAGATCTATATGGCTTACATCTACATTGCTGTAGGGTTTGATACAATAACACAATAGAATTGGAATATGAATCCTCCATATAGATCTAGATCTAGATCTAGATCTAGTAATCTAAATAAATCTAGATCTTGATCTAGATCTTGTAGAACAAGTGAATAGGAATAGGCCTTGAACTAGAAATCCGCATCCGATTCCGAACAGAGGGACTCAGCTGAGTCTAGATTCTAGATCTAGAATCTAGATCTAGATTTAAATAAATAAATAATTCACGCACCTGATGAAATGCTTATTTTTACCAATATTAATATTACAGCACAACCTATGATAGGGTTTGACACAATAGAATTGGAATATGAATCCTCCATAGAGGTCTATAATGATCTATATAAATCTAGATCTAGATCTAGATTCTATTAGAACAAGAGAGTCAGACTTGAATGAATCCACACGATCTGAACAATTGAATTAGTCAACAAACGAATTCAAAATGGCCGCTCGAGCACGAAACTCAAAGTAGATAATTTAGGTTGTTGTCCTTTTTCGTATTCGCATTTCTACTCAGGTTCCGACAACGCCGACGTCGGCAGTCGGCGGTGCGCGCGTCGGCTGTCGGCACGAAAACGAAAGTGCCGACGAAGCCGACGAGAGGAAAAGGGGTCGCTGGCAGTCGGCCAGGCCTCGCACTACGCACATTGACTAATACAGGCGGGCCTAGCGATAGCATCGGCCGGTTCGCAGGTCGGGTCGCGATTGTCGGATTTCAGACGATTGTCGGCAAACATGCAGGTCTAATAATAGACTACAAAGAGAAGAGGAATTTGTAAGGATGCCCTGAGGAGATGGGACTCCATAGCTGCCCAGATGGTGGGTATTGGCCAAGTAATCCCTCTCCAAACCCTTCACACACACCGATTCGCCAAGAAGTTATTAGGAGATACTGAGGTAAGCATTAAAAAAAAAGCTATCAAGCATAACTTGCACTTCATCATAAAGACTAATGAAAATAAGGTATAAAATGATGAAGGGAGAAGAAGTGTCAAGACTCACTTTGGCTGGGAGACAACAGTTTCCATCATATCCTCATCTTCCCTCTCTTTTGAGGTGATCTCAGCTCTCACCTGCGGACAAAGAACAAAGACACATCCAGCATTTGAAGGCAGAGTCACAGATTGTACATTCTTAGTAAAACAAGGTACTTCTTCTGTGTTGAGCAATATATTTAAGACGAAATTGGGCCATCACATTCAAACAAAGGCAGATAACTCTGTCCATGAATTCCAGGCGCCGAAGTAGGGAAACCGTTCTTTATCTCTTTATCTAACCTAAGTTCATCAATGTCCTGTGAGAAGGGCCAGCACTTTCATCTTCTAACAAATGGTGCCACAGGACGATCCCCTCTTCTTGTCTCACGCATATTTGGCAAATACCTAGGAGCTTCTTACCACTGCACTAACATTAACCCTTTGAGCTGTGACCTTCAGAGGTTACCATGTCCCTCTGCCTGAGCTCCTGAGCTAACATTCATATGATTGTCCGAAGCACAGTCCATATCCCACTCAGGGCAGTCCTCATCATTACCAGCACCTAATTCAGAAAGATCTTCAAATTAATTAACAATATCTTGTGTAGTAATCGCTGTTTTCCGTACATGTTTTGCCTTAGGGCGAGCCAGGTTGGGGATGGGGTCTCACTCACCGCTATAATAGTCGCTAGGCATACGGGTGGTTTTAGGCGCGACTGGTGTACAGGTGGCAAGGGCTCAAAGGGTTATGGATGACCAAATTTACGTGTAGGATGTAGACCCTGTTCCATCACAACAGATGATTGTTTGTGCAACAATTGTCTACACATGCAACGATGGAGCATATGGTTACTAAGGCAAATGAAAGCCAAAGAATGCAATGTTGTGTTTGTAAAATTGTAATGCCAAAGCAAATTCCTGTATTATGTGACGTTGATGTAATATCCTAACTATTCTATATATGCATTGCTTGTGTCATAACAACAAAACTTCCCCACGATGATAAATGGAAATAGTACTTTTCTTCCTTCTATCGTCTCTTTATTCATCATCTGACATACCTTCTCAAGTAGTGCATAGTCCAATCCTTTCACCAAGTGAGTGTGTTCCATGTCACCTCCCAAGTACTTAGAGGCCTGTATCACTTGCTTCCTCCTCTCTGCATTGTTTTCAATGCTTGCAAGAAAAAATAAAAAGAAGTATTAACTTTCCACCAAATGCATGTTTGTTTGAATAAAGAGAAGCATATCCACAGGACGGCTATCAGATAGAACTGACAAGGCAAAACAATCAACGGATATATGAGAGAGACAGGAAAGAAATGGGACTTATGTAAAAATGTCCTCTATAACTTACAGGTAATCCAAGTACAAAAGAAAAGTTCCTAAAGTCTTTTAGTAGGAGAGAATCAAAATAATCACAATTCAAAAGCAATATCTTCTATAAAGTGGTTGACCCTTTAAACAGACATAGTTCTACTAATTCTCATAACTCGCTTACTTACATCAAACCGTCAGACACGTCACTGGTACAATATTGGGAACAAGAGCTCGTGTATCATCTCCGTTTGATCATTGGAGAAACAGTGACCAACTATTTCTAGAATAGACCTGGCCTGAGCATATGGCACTGCGATGATATTAACAGGCCATGAAAAGTTCCAGAAGGAGTAGAGGAACCAGCAGTAAGTGCAGGAGAAGAATACAGTACCACCATTACTCTTCCAGTAAAAGTAAAGTGTATAATCCCAATTGTCTTCACGCTTTTAAGCCAGCTGTTTCCTGTTCCTGTTAGAAACAGTTGTACACCTGCACTGACCCCCGAATCTGCACAGAAGGCTCAGCACGTTTGAAATTGGGGCAACAGGAGCAACTTTACTTTTATTGCTTTGCCAGGACCACAAGCTCCATGTAAACAAACTTGAAATGTTTTTTTTACAAAAGCATTCGGGAAAAAAGAACTTGTCTAAAGATGAAAGTTGAGTTTAGTACAGAGTTTTACGGCGCTCGCAACTGCATAAGGTCATATGAGCGCGCGAAACACAAGTTAGTTTTTTTATACGCAGTTCACTGCACGGCTGGATACGGGTTATTTGATTTTAAAACGTTAAAATATTTAAAATTTGTGTAAATATACATTTTTTCAATCTAAAATAACCTTCATAAACATTTTTAATAATTTAATTCTGTTCTATAACTTCCCATAAAGGTCAATGGCCTTCATAAAATCAAAAATTCTGTTGGGACCAAGGACGGAAAAATGTCTTGCAATTTTTTGCATTTAAAGTATTTCTTTCGGATCTCTCCAAAGTCTAGACATTCGGTTAAAATGTGTCTAATGGTAAAATCTGTGTCGCATCCGACACAGAGCGGCTTCTCATCTCCCTGTAGGAGGTATTTGTGTGTCAGGGCCGTGCGTCCGATGCGCAATTGAGTAAAAATGACTTCGTCTCTTCTGGAGAGGTCCGAGGGATTTTACTGTCCCAGTTTGGGTTTTATATTATAGAGTTTGTTATTCTTCTGTTTTTTCCAGTGGCTCTCCCACAGACTGGAGGTGTACTTTGTGACTATATTTTTAAAGTCAGTCGGTGGGAGAGTGTTCGTCGTTGATCCCAACAGAAGGGATGAGGATTTCTTCGCCAGGTCATCTTCCTGCTCGTTTCCCCGGATGCTCCAATAGCTAGGTATCCATGCGAACATGATATTTTTTCCTGTTTCAGATAGGGCGTGAATTTTCTGTTGTAGCCTAACTATTTTTGGGTGTAGGAGTGTGTAGTTTGTGAGTGAGGTGATGCAAGACAGAGAGTCAGAAAGGACAAGGAAGATGGAGTCTGCTCTGGAGTGTACTGTTGGAAGATAGGGCTGCGGCGCCCACATTTTTTTTTTTTTTGGAGCCATCCGTGAAGATGAACTCCGCACCGTGGTATTTATCTATTAGTTTTTTGTATTCTGCTTTAAAAAGTTTAGGTGTTTGTGCTTTCTTTGTTGTGTGTGGTCAGCTGTAAGTCTACTTTTGCCTTGGTGAGGTGCCACAGAGGGAGGTCGGGGAAAAGAAATTGCTGGATGTCTTGTTTGGAAAAGTGTAAGTTTTTCAGGTCCTCAAGGATTATGAGGCCGAAGGGTTTGATGAGTTTTTCGTTGTTTTGGAATTTGTTTATGGTTTCTGAGTTTCTTTTAAAAATGCAGTTGTGCGCTGGATTTTCTGGTGTTGAGCTCTGTTTAATTGCGTATTGTAGAGAGAGTTGTGTGCGATGAAAGAAAACTCACGCCTTGGCATCAGGGGCCACAGCTCTGTAGTCAGCCGTCGTGCTAATAACTTCCGTCTCAGAGTAGTCCTTGTTGTGGCCTTCTCGGCGCTCCTTGGCCTGGCAAGATAAGAGGAAAATGCAGATAGACAGGCTGCTACATTGACAAAGAGTATCAATTGAGTAAAGGGAAGCACATCCACACAATAATGGTCATTTAATGCACACAAAAAGCAAAGCACACAAACAAGACAGAAACACCAGTGAATGAAAAGAAGTAGGAGCTACCCAGGGGGTCCCCTCCAACGCCCAGCAGCAAAACAAGAGCTCTTGGAAAGTGCAGATATAAATAAGACTGCCAAAGGTGACCGGAAAAAAAAAAAAAAAAAAAAAAAAGAGGAAACAGGCAGACTGCCATGTATGAAAAAAAAGAGGAAAGTGCAGACATACAGAATGCCATAGATGACCAACTGAGGAGCAGAATTAGGTAAAAACAAGCAATTTTCTCTCCCATGAGCATCAATTGGGTAAATCTATTGTTGGACACCCCCCCCCCCCCTTTTATTACCCTGTAAACTCACATCAAATGCATTAAGAGTTACAGATTACATCCAACAGTTTTTGACTTACTCTGTCTCTGTACTTGGACTCCAGCTCTTTCTGTCTCTCCTCTTCATCTCTTTTGAGCTTGGCATAGTAACTGTCAAATTGAACATAAAAGCATAATTTGTGGAAAAGAAACATAACAGCGCTTAAATTTCACACAGGTGTCTTTGAATTATCTACATTCCCTGGCATAACAAGGGAAAGGTTATAAGCTCACAAACCAAAAAAAAAAACATTTTAAAATCTACAAGGAAGAAGAAGTTTACAGTTAGCAGTTCACAATGCTACTGCCTACCAGGGTTGTTTTTTTCCCCAATGCAATTTCTGTTTTCCGCAAATGTTTCGAACTCATCATTTGAGTTGCCAAGTGTTGTGTGCCAATGCAGTAGTTCCCCTTTTAACACTTCATGAATGACTTTAACTGATGAAATACTTGAAAGATCACAAATTCAAATTGCACACCCCCACCTCTCCCCAACAACAACCCCACCCCCCCTTTAAAAAAATAAATTTTGCTCAGCATACTTTCAAGTCCATTCAAAAACACATTCCTGTGTGAATTTTACTCAAAAATAATATAGCATATTATGATAAAAAGCTAGTTAAGTCCAAGAACCTTTTCTTCTTCTTTCTTCTGGTGGCAGCATCCTCCTCCTCACCCTCTTCTGGAGCCACTGGAATCCTATGGAAAAACAAAAAAACAAAGTCAAATATAAATTCAACCCAGTAACAATACAAAGAACAAATATTCATATATAATAACAATAGATAGCATTTGTACAGTGCAAATCCACGCTCAACAGCAGGCTCTATGCGCTTCACAATCTATACTATTACCTCAGCAGACCTGAGCATGAGAGCATTCTGAAACAACCTCAACTTCCTAGGAAGCATACAGTTCAAGCAGCCATTTATAGGCGCTAAAACACTAACATACTGACAAGATCTTTTGCTGTCTATGGCCGGATACCCATTCCAATCTGGGGTGAAGTGAGAAAAATTCCTGTAAAGTGCCTTTCCCAAGGACACAACGCCAGGCCCACGGCTCGAACCCCCGAACCCGCATCCTTGCGATTACAAGTCTGGTAGCCTAACCACTAGGCCACAGACGCTATATCATACGACTCCCACTCACAAACAGTACAAAGAACAAATATTCACATACATTTTCCACACACAACTGATACAACACAAAAATAAATATTCAACACACATGCTCAAAAAACAATACAAAAAATGAATGAAAAAACGCCCCCCTTCCACAATATGAACACAAAGGATACTGATACAGGTTTGCCCCCCTGTAACAAAGTCAAGTGGAATGGGGGGGTGTCCTGAGGTACCTAATTCACAGAACAGACAATTTGCAGTCTGGCCAGTAACAGTACACAAGCAATGCGTTCCCTGAAAAAACTTATTTAATTTCTGAATGTGCTTCGGTCAATAAAGAGTCATTTCTTAATCTTTTACCTATATCGGTACCTACATTATGACATTTAAAAATAAGTAATTGACTAGACTGAGGGGTCTGACGCTTAAAGAGGCAGAGCTCAGTTAACAGGGTTCCTGCCATGAACTTCCCATCAAATTCAAGGAGGTTTCAAGGAAAAATTTTTTAAATTCAAGGAGATTTGGTAAAAAAATTCATGA